AGCCCAGGAGTTGGAGGTTGCTGTGAGCTGTAATGCCACGGCATTCTACCCAGGGGGACAGCTTGAGGCTCTGTCTCAAAAAAAAAAAAAAAGGTTTAAAAACACTGCTTTACAGTCTCCCTTCCATGTCTCCTTATGACAGTTACCCTAGAATCTTCAGGTTCCGCCTGTTCGTGCCAGTGAGATTCTGGCATCATGAGGATCATGTTGGAATCACTGGTGTGAACTAGTTGCTATGATCTGCCCAGTGTCCTCTTCAACCTTTCACACACAAGAGCGGAAGCGTGGGCCCCAAGCCCCAGAGATAAGGCAATCTGAGGAGTAGTTTCACCTGTTTATTCCTTGGTGCTCAAGGAGCAAGAAGCAGCTATGGTGAGTACATGAAGATGCCGCTCAGTATATTTCTAGAGACTCAGTGGCCATAGTGGGACAAGCTGCCAAGAGTCAAGGGCCGAGAGAGAGTAGTGTGAAGCCAGGTCCCTGTGGAAGTGGGGACTCTGACTGTGAGCCTGGCTCATGAAGGGTGGACTTCAGATCCAGATGTCAGAGCTGCAGTCGCCTCCAGGGTAACGGAGCTCATGGGCCAAGGCTGGGCCGAGGGGCTCCTTTCCGAAGTCCACCAAGAAGTTGGGGTTCAGCTTCAGCCCTCCCTTTACTGTGTCTACATCAATTTGCAGCATCACAGAGCCTTCCCTGGTGGGAAAGGAGAAGGGGCTAAGGCAGTGGTTCTCAACCTGTGGGTCGCGACCCCTGTGGACTGTATTAAAGGTTTGCAGCATTAGGAAGGTTGAGAACACTGGGCTAAGGGAAAAGTCAGAGGTGACCATCCTCCTTCCTTCCTGATTTATTAGAGTAGGAGGTGGGTTCCCAGGGTAGGAACAGGGTCTAAAGGGGCTGTCTGTCAGGTGAGGTGCAGATGGGGTCCCTGAGGATGACCCCTCTGGGAGAGCAGGGCTGGGAAGGTGAGCCCAGGCAGCTGCCTCTCACCTGATGAGATCAGGATAGAACTGTTTGTCCCAGGCACTGTACAGCGAAGTGGTGACATAGAGACGCTTCCCGTCTAGGCTGAGCTGGATCATCTGAGGGCCTCCAGCCACCCGTTTCCCCTTGAAAAAAACAGGGGTCAGACCCCAGGGTGACACACAGATCCTAGGAGCCCAGGAACAACCCCAACCCCCAGAGTATGTGCACATGCTGCCCCCTTATTCCTTAAGCAAGGGTTTGAGGCGTCCTAGAAGTAGAGGCAAGGCCCTTACCTTGACCACTAGGGGTTCTGGCTGGGACTTTAGTTCCTGGTCCTCCAGCACTTGCACAGGGCCTCCCTTGACAATGCTGCCCCCAAGGAAGATCTGGGTAGGGAGGTGAAGAGTATAGAGACAGTGTGGAAATGAGAGCAATTTCCTGGGGTCCCTCCCTCCATTCTGACACCTTCTCTGTGCATACCCACGGGGCTCACTCACAGTCCTGGGCCTGCACCATCCTCTGCCCTTATTTTTGTTTTTCCTGAACCTCCTCTATCATACCCCACCTCGTTCATACCCTCCATCCCAGTCTCAGACTCTTCTCTTTCCTTCCTCCCCTAGTTCTATGCCCACCTGTCCAGCGAGGCGAGGGCTCTGTGGATCTGACACGTCATACTGCCGCAGATCCCCATGCAGCCAGTTGCTGAAGTAGAGGAAGCGGTCATCCAGGGATAGCAGGATGTCAGTGATCAGACCTTGGGGAGTGGGACGTATGAGTTCAGAGCCTTTATGGACTTGTTTCTCGGGCCAGGAATCCAACCCCTGAGTCTCTAGGTACTCACCGGGCATCTCAGGCAACATCCAGCCCTTCACTTTTTTGGGGGGCACCTGGATCACCTTCTCCACTGACCAAGTACCTCCCTACATTGGGGGGAGGAGGGAGGTAGGGCAAGGACAGGAGGCAGAGAGGTGAGATTCTCCGAGTTGGGGGCTGGGGGGTCAAATAGGGTCTTCTTGCCACTAGGGTCTAACTCTGTGCAAGCCCCATAAGGCAGGGATGGTGTCTGCTCCCCCACTGCACCCCATACAGTGCAGTGGCCAACAGAGAAAGCAGCTCTCTAGTTTTTCAATGATCAAATAGACATTGACCAGTTAGGATGCAAGTGGAAACTGGCCTGGCACTGAGAGAAGAGAGGCAGAGTGTGTGGCCTTGCTTTTTGTTGCTGGAGAATCCTGGCCTGATGGAGGCTGGGAGCCCTGTTATGGAAGTGAAGACAGGGTGCTGACATGACTGGTAGGAGCAGAGGCACAGAGGACACATGTCACCTCATTCTTGTAGAAGCGCTGGACAGTGGAGCTGAGGGCACAGCCCACAAACCCCTGGGCAGCATCTGGGTTGTGCAGGAAGCGGACCTCCAGGGGGATGAGCCCATCCTTCAGAGGCAAGGTCTGCACGATCTCATGGCGCTGCCAGTCCCACACATGTAAGTGGTTCCCATATAGCCCTGGGATGGGGTGAAGCCGAGGATGGGCTCAGGATCAGGGCAGGAGGATAGGGGCAGCAGCTGGGACAGGAGGTTGAGAAACGGGTTAGAGGGACCAGAGACACTGGGGCAAGTCTGGGTGTGCAGCACATCCTGGTCATCACCCTGAGAGTCCGGGCCACATGGGAAAGTGAGAGGCTGGTTTGGAGTGGGTTTTAGAGCAGCAAGCAGTGGGTATGGGTCCAAGGTTCCTGCCTGTGCACGGGGGATTCTCACCTGCCTCCACATCAGCGGGGTTGAAGCCATCTCGTAAGACTCTGGGGGCTGCCCACTCGGTGCTGACCATGACATTGTGTCGAGGCTGGTACCAGTAGTCATAGCCCAGTGGGGCAGCACCCCCAGGCCGCTCCCATGTCCCCTTTACTTCAAAAGTCTCCCCATCCAGCAGCACAAAGCCCCCTGAGCAAAAAAGGAAGTAGGGACAGGTAGAGGCACCAGAGACACAGCCCCACCCAGGCCCACCCCAGGACATCCAGGAACCTCTTGGCTGTCGCCTGCCCCTCCCCACACTGGGTTTGCCAGCTCCTTATATTCAAGTGTCCAAAGGGTCCCACCCAGGGGGCCAGGTGGGAGGCGGGGGCTTCTACTCTAGAACCCATCAACCTCCTCCCTTTCCCAGACCACAGGGGACATTTTTCTCACCTTGAGCCAAGAGATGTGGTTCTCAGCCACCCTTACCCTGCCTCTCACTTTTGGAGATTTCCCACAGTCTAAGCCCGTTCTGCCCACCATGTTTTTGTTTTTGTTGTTGTTGTTTATTTGTTTGTTTTTGAGACAGAATCTCACTATGTCACCCTTGGTAGAGTGCTGTGACATCACAGCTCACGGCAACCTCAAACTCCTGGGCTTAAGCAATTCTGTTGCCTCAGCCTCCCAAGTAGCTGGAACTACAGACGCCCGCCACAACGCCCAGCTAGAGACAAGTTCTCACTCTTGCTCAGGTTTGTGTTTTTTTTTTTCTTTTTAATGAAACAGTTAATGTGTATTTATTTGTAATTCAATACAATGCCCAATATGTGGCTGCCTTGCTTAGTATGTTAGGGCAACTTACTACATCCTTGCAAATACAACCAGATGTCTACTCCTGGCTGTTCTTAAATCTAGGACTATCACCTTCTTCCCATCTCCTGGAAAAGACAATCTAATGGAGTCTGGTGCGACAATCTGAGCTGGCTGACCTTAACTGATGACAAGCCGATGGTGGGCAGGTTCTGATGAGACACATGAGGCTCTGAGAGAGGCTGCACAAAGTGGTGGATAGGACATAGATTCTGGGGCCAGATTGCTGGGTTCTAATTCCAGCTCTGGGACTTATTAGCTGTGTGACCTTGGGTAAGTTACTTAATCAATCTGTGCCCCAACTTTCTCATATGCAAAACAGGGATTGTACTAGCACACAATAGACATTTCATAAATGTTGGCTCTGATCATATAATCTGTGTTCACATTCCCCTTAGCAGGCTGTTCTGACTATAACTTTCAACTGAATTAAACAGTCAAGGCTCATCTCCATAGAAATAATCAAAACAACTGAAGTTACTTGCTAACTTTAAAACATTGGACAGGATCCAGCCCATTTGTTTTCTTGGGAGGTCATTCTGTTCTGCCCCCAGTTTGTGATCTGCTCCTCCCACATTTCATAGCTGTGCAAGTGTCTATGAGAACACACAGCCTGTGAGCACCTTTGCCATTGCCCTGGGGGTCTCCCAGGGAGCTGATCATCACCTCCCCGCTGGCCAGGCAGTGGCTGGTATGCAGATAGGCGAGCTCACACTTGGCATGGATGTCCTTGGGCTCAATGACCTAGGGAGGGTAGGGAATGATGTCAGAATCTTGCAGGGATGGGAATCCTTACTCCCATACTACCCTACTTCTACCTGTCAAACCTGCCCTCTTTTCCTTCAAAACACAGACACAAATCTCCCTGTAAGAATGTAGCAAATAGTCAGTCTGATAACTTCTGCGGAACACCAAGAGAAAGCCAGAGATTGTTAATAATTCCCCAGGCTGGCTCTGCGCCTATGGCTCAAGTGGCTAAGGCACCAGCCACATACACCTGAGCTGGTGGGTTAGAATCCAGCCTGGGCCTGCCAAACAACAATGACAGCTGCAATCAAAAAATAGCTAGGTGTTGTGGCAGGCTCCTGTAATCCCAGCTACTTGGGAGGTGGAGGCAAGAGAATCGCTCGAGCCCAGGAATTGGAGGTTGCTGTGAGCTGTGATGCCATAGCACTCAGGGCGACAGCTTGAGGCTCTGTCTCAAAAAAAAAAAAAAAGAAAAGAAAAGAAAAAAAAATTCCCCAGGCAGAAAGCACTGACTTCTTCCCTGTCTGTCCTAGCATTGGCTGCCTGGTGAGACCATAAGCTCCTCCCGGGCTGGGGATGTCAGTGTCAGCAGCAGCTAGCAGTGAGTGCAGGGCCCCCAGAGGGTACTAAAATGCTCAGAGGAAGGACTGCAGACTTCTGCCGAAGAGCAGTCCTGAGCTCATGACTGGGTGGGGAAAAAAGGCTTCCTCTCTCTCTCCCAGACTAAAATAGGAAGCCTTTTCCTTCTTCTTGGGTGCCCTGGCCTTCGGGGCTAGATGGTGACAACCCAGTAAGCCTCGGTGACTCTCCCCTGAGGTCTGACTTCTCTCCCTGCTGCTGAAAGAGCCTGAAGCTGCTGGTTCAGGGCTGGCTCCTGCCTGTAGGCTGCCAAGGGCTGCAGGGCAGAGGACATACCTTATGCAGCTTTGGTGCCCGGGGCTCAGAGCCCACATCTATGATGTAGACTCGAGAGGAGATGAGGCCCGGCAGCACCAGCTTGGAGCGAGACTTGGTGCTGTCACTGAAGCAGCTGCTGCACGTATTCCACCCTGAGTGATGTAGCTCGTCCTTCAGGTTGGGCATGGGCAGCCGGTGGATGACCTAGGGTAGGGGACAGGGTGCTGCTCATCTAGGCCACGCCTCCCTGCTTTTGGAAGAGGTGACCCCTAGACTCATTTGGTTTTGCAATGCAGCAGGGGTGGAATTCAGCACTCACCTTGTCCCTGGCGTAGTCAACAGCCAGCACAACCATATCCAGGGAGGGCCAAGAAGGATGGAGCTAGGGAAAGGCAGACCCAGGGCTGGGGACACAGGGGTCTCAAGGTAGCTGGTGCCTAAGTCTCGCCTCACCTGGCAATACTGGGGAGACTTGGGGTCCACATCCACAGTGGCCAGGTAATCTGGGGCCTCAGTGCCCGTGTTTCGGTAAATACAAGGCAGGTAGACAATCTCCTCTCTGGGTCCTGGAGGGTGGAAAGCAAACAGTGGGAAAAAATGGTGGGGGCAACACTGGGTGTGCCAGAGGGTGGAGGCCAGGTCTGAGGTACCCCTAGCCCCACCAGCTGTGGACTCAGTAGGAGGGCGCCAGCCCTCAGACCCTTAGCAGTTACCTTTCATGGCTTCCAGAGGGGTAGGGTAGCCAGGTCCACACTTCCCACATTTTGTAGCTGCAGAAACAATGGGCAGGTTGGCCAGGCCCTATTCTGGAGGGTGAAGGTCCCTTCCTACATCCCCACAGGAATGTGAGGGTGTGGAGGGAAGATCTGGAGAGACATGGCCTGTGGGACAGACAGTCTGGTGGGGCCCAGGGGAGGGTGGGAGGAGAACAAGTGCAGCCGAGGCCGAGTGGGACAGGGGTTAGGACACTGAATTGGACCATGGACCAGCCACGGTGCTTGAGCAAAGCACTCAACCTGCCCCCCTAGCCTCAATTTCTGCATCCTTTGTAAAAAGAGGACAGTAAGAACACCACAATGGACTTTCATGAGACATAAACAAGAGAGTGTTGTGCAGACTTGGTGGACCCCAAGGGGAGAGCTGCTTGGGACAGCTCTCGGGCAGTGGGGTGAGGCCTGCTAGCTCCCTCACCCAACTGTCTAGACCAGGGGCTGGGACGTTCCTGCACTTCTCTCCTCTGGGTCTTGATCCCTGGCTGCTAGTCAGGGCCACCTGGATGTCCTTAGGCTAGTTCCTACCTCTGAGTGGGCCCAACTTTCTTGCTTTCGTTTTTTTTTTTTTGAGACAGAGTTTCATTATGTTGCCATAGATAGAATGTTGTGGGATCACAGCTCACAGCTACCTCAGACTATTGGGCTTAAGTAATTCTCTCGCCTGAGCCTCCCAAGTACCTGGGACTATAGGCGCACACCACATGCCTGGCTATTTTTTGTTGTTGTTGTTATCATTGTTGTTTAGCAGGCTTGGGCTGGGTTCAAACCTGTCAGCCCCACCAGGCCTGGTGTACGTGGCCAGCACAGACTTTCTTTATCTGTACAGTAAGAGTTTGGCCCAACTCTGGAGAGCTCAGAGGCCCACCTACTCAAGATAGGGGGACAGCCCTCCCTGTTCCTGGAGTCTGGCAAGAAAGGTCATATTAATCCACAGGACTAGAGTCAGTGCTGTGGAGGAGGGCCTCAGGACATCACAGCTGCCAGGAACCCAGTTTCAGAGTTTGTGGCCTGCTGCAGGGAAGGGCTGAAGAATAGCCCAGAGGGAGCCACAGACTGAAAGAAATCCTAGAGTGATGCACACAGGCCTGAGCACGTTCTCCTGCCTGTCCCAGGTGTCTGGTCTGACCACTGCCCTGACAACAGGGCTGCAAGTGGAGATCCAGAACCAGGAACAGCCAGAGTGGAGCTTCCACTTGTGCCTGGGACTCCTACCTGTGGCATAGAAGGGAGTTAGGAAGCTGGGAGGCAACCACAGCATTTTAAAGTCTGGAAAACCGGTTTCAAGTTCTAGACTTGACCCCCACTCTGTCTGTTTTCTCTCCTTCATTTGCTAAAAGGGGGTAATAATAACATCCTACCTACTTCTCCAGGTAAATATGAAGGTCAAATAAGATAACATATTCAGAAAGTACTTCCATGAAAGAGAAGTGTTACATAAATATAGGCAAATAAGACAATGTATTCCCAACCACTTTCACAGAGGTGAGTGTCGTATAAACATGGGCAGGGCTGTGGCCAAGGAGGGAAGAATGCCAGGCTGTGCTTGACACCCCAGGAGGAGGCTGGGCAGGAGGCAGGGTGAAAGGTCCACTGAAAAGGAACTAAAGAGACTTGTTCTGGTACACAACCTTGCTGTGTCAGGGCTCCACACAGTATGTCAGAGGATGAGGAAGAAGGTTGTTGGACACAGAAGGGAAAAGGAGATTAAAAAACTCCAAGACACAGGCTGGGTGCAGTGGCTCACTCTTGAATTCCCAGCACTCTGGAAGGCCAAGGTGGATAGATTGCCTAAGCTTAGGAATTCAAGACCAGCCTGAGAAAGAGTGACACCCCCATCTCTACTGAAAATAGAAAAACTAGCAGAGCATTGTGGCTGGCACCTGTAGTCCCAGCTACTCAGGAGGCTGAGGCAGGAGGATCACTTAAACCCAAGAATTTGAGGTTGCTGTGAACTCTGATAGCATGCCACTCTATCGAGGGTGACAGAGTGTGATTCTGTCTCATAAAACAAAACAAAACAAAACAAAACAACTTCAAGACACCAAGACAGAGATATAAACACTAACTACACAGCCAAAAAGAGACCAAGAAGGAAACAAAAGGGCGAAGGAGTTCCACAGCATCTGCCCACCCCAGCTCCCCGGACCTCCAGCATTCCTTAGGGTCAGGCACTCCATCTCCATGCCACTCAGGTCCCAGGGAGCAGCATTCCTCTTTCTGAGAAATACCCCCTGGCTTAAGCATCTCAAGCGAGGTCTGAGCTTCTTTGGGTTTGAGATGAATGTGAGAGTCTTGCTATGTTGCCCAGGCTGGTCACAAACTTCTGGGGTCAATTGATTCTCCCTCCTCAGCCTTCCAAGTAGCTGGGACTATAGGTACACACCACTGTGCTCAGCTTCAGTAGAGTTTCCAAGCAAGGCTGGCTGTTGGGCTTTCTGCCAGTCCACGGAAAAGCCAGCTCCAAGGGGGCAGAGACCTCAACATTCCCAAGCAAACCCAGGCTCCTTCCCAGCCTGCTCAAACTCCTCCTGGGAGTGAGCTCCAGGAGCTAAGGGGTAGAAGGGTAGGAGGATGAGGGACTTGAGGGGTGAGAACTGAAACAGGTCTCAGCAAGAGAGTGAAGGTCCCTGATTTCCCTTCCAAAGAGAATAGTTATGTGGACTAGCTAGAGAGTAACTGGGTCCTTAGGCTTGGCTTCCCTGATCCTTGGTGTGAGAAATCAGGGTTATCTCTTTCCTACATGCAGGGCCAGGGACACAGAGGCATCTTCTGAGAAACATCACCTACACCCCCCCCCCACCTAATTTTTTCAGCTGCAGAAGGGCTCCCTGGCCCCAGCCCCTGCTGAATGGAGCTGGGTGGGAGCACACCCTTCCCAGAAGTCCTGCTGTCCTCCTTCCTCGGTCACTTTGGCTAAGCTAGGAAATGCAAGGAGTAGAGTGCAGGATAGGGACAGTACATCAGAGTCCACCACTCCCTTACCTAGCTGATCCTCCAGGTTTTGTGCCCTTTCCTGGAGGTAAGACCTTCCAATTTAGGGGTAGGTGGTGCTGGCAAGCCCCCTCCTTACCCATGCTGTTGGTACACTTTGGTCCGGAGAGTTTTCAAAGAGCAGGCAGAGCCGATGAGAGGCTGTCCTGGTTTCAGAACGCTGTGCAGGCAAGGGGCAAAGGGAGGGATTTATATAGCCAATCAGGCCTAGGGGAGGGAGGAGGTGGAGGGAGGGCTGGGCTGCAGCCCAGGGTAAACTGCTCAGGGCAACTGGCCAGGAGGCTCTCAAGTGGCCTGGGCGGCCAGTGTTTGAGTTATGGAGTGTGTGTGTGTGTGTGTGTGTGCAAGCCTCTGCTCTTCAGTGGGTGCCTGAGTATGTTTGAGATTATTTGGGTATGTGGGTGCTCTTGTGTACCTATGTGTGTGCCTACATGAATGTGCATCTGTGCCAGCATGTGAATTTGTGCCTGTGTGAGTGGCAAGTGTGCCTGTGTGTGCACGCCTGTGTCTGGCACTGTATATGTTTGTGTGTGCCTGCCAGGGCACTAATGCCTGTGAGTATGTGCCTGTGTATGTGTGTGGGTGTTCTGGTGGCTGTGTGCATGTGTGGTGGTGGGCCTGTGCCTGTGTGGGGTGTCCAGGTGGGCCTGTGTCTATGTGGGGATGTTCAGGTGGGCCTGGGCCTATGTGGGGGTGTCTGTGTGGGGGTCCACGTGGGCCTGTGCCTGTGTGTGCCCATGTTCTGTGCCTCCAGATACTCAAATGTGTATCGGGACCTGTTTGTAGAGACGAGTCTTACTTTATCGTCTTTGGTAGAGTACCATAGCATCACACTGCTCACAGAAACCTCCAACTCCTGGGCTGAAGTGAGTCTCTTGCCTCAGCCTCCCACGTAGCTGGGACCACAGACACCCACCACAACCCCCGGCT